TCCCCCCCCCCCCCCCCCTGAATGCTTGCAGTAGAAAGTGAAGGACATAGCTTTCATCAAGGATCACCATGGCTTCTGGATCCAGATCTTCTGAAAACAACCATGAATGCAGCTCGAGGTAATTGAAGAGATCGTTCTTATCTCTTTACGCATGGGTTCGGACACAGTTGAACACGACATTGACTGTTTGCTTGTGACGTAATACAGAACAAGATATGCAAAAACGTCATCATAAGATTCCCAAACCTTTTACAAGATAACCCAAAAATCATTGGCTTAAGTTATTGTTCTTCCTTTAAGACAAAGACTTTCTTCTTCTCACCTCAGAAGAGAGAGAGAAAGAGTTATAAGACCACCATTGAAGAAGAAGCCTTAATTTCGTGAGAACCCTTTTTCTGTTCTGTAATGTATCTTATCTTCTTCTTCCTCCTCTCTGTGATCAGAACTTCCCATTCTGCCCTCACAAAACCCGATCCTCTTCCCATTTTACCCATCCCTTCCTTCCAGCAGCTCCAATGGCAGCTCGGATCCATGGCGATGTTCCTCCACTTCGGACCCAACACGTTCACCGACTCCGAATGGGGCTCCGGCAAGACTGACCCGTCTGTTTTCAACCCGACCCGATTCAACGCCACTCAGTGGGTCCGAGTCGCCAAGGACTCCGGCTTCTCTCGCGTCATCCTCACCGCCAAGCACCACGACGGATTCTGTCTCTGGCCCTCCGACTTCACCGACTATTCCGTCAGATCGAGCCCCTGGAGACACGGCCACGGCGACGTCTTGGCGGAGCTTGCGGGGGCGGCGTCGGACGCCGGCGTCGGACTGGGTCTGTACCTCTCGCCGTGGGATCGGCACGAGAAGTCGTACGGGAAGACCTTGGAGTATAACGAGTACTATCTGAGTCAAATGACCGAGTTGTTGACAAGGTGAGCTCGTGAAAACACGAAACTCAGACAAAGATCCGGTCTTTGTCGGTTCCGATCAAGTAGGTCGATTTCGATTTTAACGATGAGACTGTCGGTTCTTAAAGGTACGGAGAGATCAAGGAAGTATGGTTGGATGGAGCAAAGGGAGAAGGTGAAAAGGACATGCAGTATTTCTTCGAGACATGGTTCAGTTTGATCCACCAGCTTCAGCCAAAAGCCGACATCTTCTCCGACGCCGGTCCGGACGTCCGGTGGGTAGGAGACGAGGCCGGAGTCGCCGGCTCCACTTGCTGGTCACTCTTCAACCGCTCCAACGCCAAGATCGGTGCCACCGATCCTCTGTGGGTCTTGCTTTAAGCTCTAGCTATTCGCCATAGAAGCATCGTTCTTGAATCTTGATCGTGTTCGTGTTTGTGTTGTAGGTATTCCAAGGAAGGAGATTTCCATGGACAAGACTGGGTACCTGCAGAATGTGATGTCTCGATCCGACCAGGCTGGTTTTGGCATGAAACGGAATCTCCAAAGCCCGCAATTCAGCTTCTGGATATATACTACAACTCGGTGGGACGGAACTGTCTCTTGCTGCTCAATGTCCCCCCGAACTCATCCGGTCTGATATCTGAACAGGACATCAAGGTTCTGCAGGAGTTCCAAGAACTCAGGAACTCGATTTTCTCTAACAATCTTGCTCGGAAGGCTTCTTTGGTTAACGCCAGCAGCACCCGTGGGGATAATTCAAGGTTTGGCTCTGGAAACGTGATCGAAGAAGGAATAGACAAGTACTGGGCACCGGAGGAGAAGCAAACAGAGTGGGAACTGTACTTAGAGTTTCGGGATTCGGTTTCTTTCAACGTGTTGGAAGTTCAAGAACCGATCCAGATGGGGCAGAGGATCGTGTCCTTCCATCTCGAGGCACTTAACAATGGAATCCATCGGTGGGAGAGAGTGGTGAACGGTACGACCGTCGGATTCAAGAGGCTTCTGAGGTTTCCTAGGGTTCAATCCCGGTTTCTGAAGCTTGTTGTGGACAAAGCTAGAGCCGACCCGCTTATCTCATACCTCGGAATCTACATGGATAACGTCTCTGTTCCGAGCTTAAACACGGGTAATGCAACATCACAAGATCACATCGAGATCATTCAAAAAAACAATTCTCGGGTATTCACAGCATAAGCTGCTGGTTGATTGTGCAAGTGCTAAAACTATGTCCTGAAACAAGAACGAGGATATGATATGTTGGGTAACAGAGGAATCTCGTCTTAATCTGATACGCAGGTCTGGGTTTATGATCTTGTGAGTCTGATTCTAAGCTTATAAAAGACAGATTCTTGTGAACAAATATCATTTCTTGAGCCACAACCAAAAACCAGCAAGAGAAGACTTTATCATAATCTAAGATTAATAACGCAAGATGGAACTTGATGCTTATATATATATACCCGGAGTACCTAGCAAATCAACTAAATAATCTAAGCAAATATGCAACCGACCTTAGCTCAGTTGGTAGAGCGGAGGACTGTAGTGTGTGCAGATAAATCCTTAGGTCGCTGGTTCGATTCCGGCAGGTCGGATTTTGCTTTGTACTCTTTTTATTTGAACACGTGTCAGATTCTGTTTGGCCTGAAATCGTTGACCCCTTGACCAACCAGTCAATGTTTTCAGACCTAGTCTCCAACACAGCCGACGTGGCATCTCCTGCTTTATCGGAATTTAAAAACAAATTGTTGACTACATGTTTTTTTTGGCTACTCCATGTTTGGGTTCCAATTAAACAAAAATAAGTATATTTTATTATCTATTTTTTCAAAATTTTATATTAAAAGACAAAAGATGACGAGGAAAACAGGATATTTAAATAAATAAAGGGAAAAAATGAAAAAAAATCTCGAAAGATATGTGGTGCACCTAAAAAATGCATGATCCTGAAAATTAGAAAGATTGATCAGAATGGTGGTTTTAAAACGGAACATAATTTTTATTTATAGGAAATGACAAAAAAAGTAGATTTCATTATATCGATATATTTACTTAAATATAAGAGCAGCAATTGTATGCTCCAAAAATTTTATTCGTTCATATAAAGAGATAGATCTGGAGAGATTAAGGATAGTTAAAGCAAAAAAAAAAGGCTATTAATGTGATAATATGGAAATTTAAATGAAAATAGATTGAGATTTTAATGAATGGCCATTTCTCGTAAAGGGAAAAGAGGGTATCTTCCTCGTAATTTCCGTTTTTTTTACTGTTATCAACATTATTATGAAAAAATAAACAGGAAATTAATTTGGATGATAAAATTATACGTAAACAGCCTAATTTAGTAAACAAAAAAATTATAATCCTAAAGAAGTGGAAACTATCTGAATATTGTAATTGAAGGAAAATGCTTGAAATAGGATAAAGACAGAACATGCGGCTTGATACCAGAAAACACAGAGTTGTGCTGGATGCACAGTTCTTTGAATCCGTCTCTCTCTCACTCTGAGAAAATAAACGCAGGACAAAACTGTAAAAAATCTGCAGAATTTGACCCGTTTAATCCTTTTCCTGATCCATGGACAGTTGATTTATCGGGCAAAAATAGATAAGACACCGTTTTTCTTCACCGGGTCTCGTTTGCATACACACATACATGTGTGTGTATGTATCTTCCCTGATCTCGTTTGTAGCCCTGAAACTCTCTTGTGCTCACCCTTTTTCTGCCCAATTTAAAGGAGCCATCTTTCAACTTATTTCAGTTAAATTTCTCACAAATCTCATCTCTCTCTATGCCCATCTTCATCATCCTTATAAGCAAATCCTGGGTCTTCGTTATTTCCCCATTTCTCGCTCAAGAACGTTAACGTCATAAAGATTTGCTCTGTTTCTCCTCGAAAGTTGTAGAGATCTGATACCTTAATCTGTTTCCGACTCTGCGGAATCGAACCCAAAAGAAAAAAAGAAAAGAAAAGGGGGATTCCATGGGGAAAGGAATAGAATCCGGAGAAATCCCCAGATTCGTGGTTCATCTCTTCAACGGGAGATGGTTCATGGTGTTTGCCTCCTTCTTGATCATGGCTTGTGCAGGTGCGACTTATCTCTTCGGAACTTACTCCAAAGAGATCAAGGCCACGCTTGGTTACGACCAGACGACGCTGAACCTGTTAGGGTTCTTCAAAGATCTCGGAGCCAACGTCGGTGTCTTGTCCGGTCTCATCGCCGAGGTCACCCCGACGTGGTTCGTCCTCCTCGTCGGCTCGGCCATGAACTTCGCTGGGTACTTCATGATTTGGCTCGCCGTCACGGGCAAGATCGCTAAACCCAAGGTATGGCAAATGTGTTTGTACATATGCATCGGAGCGAATTCCCAGAACTTTGCCAACACGGGCGCTCTCGTCACTTGCGTCAAGAACTTCCCAGAGAGCAGAGGCGTTATGTTGGGATTGCTCAAAGGTTATGTGGGCCTGAGCGGCGCTATAATGACGCAGCTTTACTTAGCCATCTATGGAACTGATTCGAAATCTCTGATTCTTTTGATCGGATGGCTACCGGCTGCGATTTCTGTGCTGTTTGTGTATTCGATCAGAGAGAAGAAGGTGGTGAGGCAGAAGAACGAGCTCAATGTGTTTTACCAGTTCTTGTACTTGTCGATATTCTTGGCACTGTTCCTCATGGCCATGAACATTGCTCAGAAGCAAACCCACTTCTCCAAAGCCGCTTACACTGCAAGTGCCACCGTTTGCTGTGTCTTGCTGTTTGTGCCTCTTTTCGTTGCTGTGAAGCAGGAGATTGATGTTTGGAACATGAAGAAGCTGCCCGTCGAGCCCCCGAGCGAGCTTAAGGTCGAGAAATCGAAACAGATCGAGTCAAGAACCGATCTACCAGAAGACAGAACAGCAGCGAAGGGTTACCTAGAGAATTCCAAGAAGAGATCGTGTTTCTTGACAGTGTTTGATCCACCCCCAAGAGGTGAAGACTACACGATCTTGCAGGCATTGTTCAGCATAGACATGATCATTCTCTTCCTCGCCACATTCTGCGGTCTAGGCTCGAGTTTGACGGCAGTTGACAACCTCGGACAGATAGGAGAATCCCTCGGATACCCGCCTCATACCGTGAGCTCATTCGTCTCCCTAGTCAGCATATGGAACTATTTCGGGCGAGTATTCTCGGGATACGTCTCGGAACACCTGCTCGCCAAGTACAAACTCCCCCGGCCGCTCATGATGACGTTAGTCCTCCTGTTAAGCTGCCTCGGCCACCTCCTCATCGCGTTTCCATTCCCGGGGTCAGTCTACATTGCGTCAGTCATCATAGGCTTCTCTTTCGGGGCGCAGCTCCCGCTGCTCTTTGCGATAATCTCCGAGCTTTTCGGGCTGAAATACTACTCGACGCTTTTCAACTGCGGGCAGCTCGCCAGCCCGCTCGGATCGTACATTTTGAACGTCCGGGTAACGGGAATGCTGTACGATTCGGAGGCTATGAAGGAGCTGGCGGCAAAAGGGTTAAGACGTGAGGATGTGAAGGACTTGACTTGCATCGGAAGGCAATGTTACAGGTTGCCGTTTGTGGTTTTAGCCGCGGTAACTTTCTTTGGATCTCTTGTGGCTTTGGTTCTTACCGTGAGGACGAGAGAGTTTTACAAAGGCGACATTTACAAGAAGTTCAAGGACAGTTCCGATGAGATTGAATTGGATGAAGCAAGCAGAAAGCATTGATTTTTATTTTTATTTATTTAAATTGTTCGGTCTTTTTTATAATGTTGAAAGAGAGCATTTCTTCTGTTTATTGAATGATTTATAATTATCAGTGAATGTGATGATGCTTGGATCATATGATTAGTATTATTAATAATGTTTGTATATATATATTTTTTAATATATCCAAGAACATTAACGATACACAATTGTTGATATTCGCTATAAAACAATTGAACATTAACAATATACGTTTGTTAATATATCATGTGATGAGTATGGCATCTCATACTAATCATATGATGTGTGTGTGTATATATATAACTAATGCATGGTCACAAGTCACACAGTGTCAGCTGTCATGCCATATTTGAGTCTCACCAACCATTTAATTTCATAATTTTCCAACAATTTTAGAAAAAAAATTCATTCTCAATCATTTTTTTTAATATAAGTATATCATACACATTATCAAAATAATTTATTTTACAGATCACCATATTTAAATTCTATAAAATAACTGCTTGAATTTTAATTGAATTCGAAATTAAGTAATATAAAAATAGAAAAAAAATGGCCTCAATATATGATAACACTAACATAATCGAACATAAATTACAATTTGTTCCTATTTGATATTAAGGGTGTAAATCTAGAAAAATCTAGAAATAAAAGGGCGCACAGGGAAAATATTTTTATGTATCATTTTATTTTCTTCTTTTTAGGGTATTAATTAACAATGATAATGGCACCGATTGGATGGGACATAAAGGGTTTGGTGTCTATTTTATTTGTTCACTTTTGAAAATTTTGTTCACCCTTTCTCCTTTTATATATATATATATATATATATAATTTGCTCGACTCCAACTTCAAGTCACGGATTCTATATGGATAAATAAATAGTAAAAAAATCAATAAATAGTGGATTTTGGATATCATAACGTAACCTATCTTTAAAAAAACAGCTATTCAATTCATAATATAGCTAATAACTATTTTATGAAATATCCAAAATCTGATATAGATTTATATAGTTAATTAGATCATGTCATTGACCCAAGAAAATAATCCAACAAATTCATGGTATGTGTTGATCCGTGATTAGCGAAATAAATCCATAAAAAAAATTACACACGCTCGTATAGAAACACACGTGAATGACTGCAAGAATGTGTAGAAATGTGATCAATTAAAAAGTAAAAAAAAAAACGGTAAGTGTAATTTAACAGAATGTCGCAATAAATAAATTATTTATATGGGCGTATGATTTTATGTGCATTAATATGCACGGGTTGTTGTCTTGTTGAAACTTTTTGTTTGTTTATTATTAGGGATTAAAGGAATCGAGGAAGAAATTATAAGATAATAATATTAAATTCTTTTACCTTGAAATTAAAAAGGAGATATTACATAGTATTTGCTCATTGCTCCATGCTCTTTATAACATATGGTCAATAAAGATTCTCCATTATGGGAAAAAAAAAGCTTGTAGCTTTGGACATTTTGTGTTTTCTGCCCCAACCCTTTATGACAAAAGTAAAAAAGTAAACACCCAATGATACATAAAATGCAACACACACATATATATATATACACACATGCACATACACACATATACACGCAAAGTAACGACCGACTCTCTCTCTCTCTCTCTCTCTCTCTCTCTCTCTCTCTCATGGAGAAGATGGAGCATGAGCAGAGTTCTCTTCTAAGCTGGGTTTACCAAATTCAGGGCAAGGTACAAACATCGTTCTTTTTGTCTGAAACTACTCAATCTACTTCTGTTGCCGACAAGTTTCTTCTGACTGATTCTTGGGAGGATGTTTTTTTTTTAAAAAATGTTTTGGGTGTTTGGTGACAGACAATGGAGGAGCTAAGACATTCGCTTCTGTATACAACACTGGAGCTCGAGCAGACAAGAATTGCTGCACGAGAAGAACTCAATGCGAGAGAGGACCAGTTAATGGAGCTCAGAGATCTGCTCGACAAAGCCATGAAGGAAAGAGACGAAGCTCGAGAGAACTGCCAGAGGCTTGTTCTCGACAAGAAACTACTGTTCCAGCAAGGGGTTTCGAGCACTAACGAGGAAGATCAAGACCCAACCAGACGAGGAAACGACGAAAACGTTAATGGGTTTTCCTCTTCAGACGGGGAAGAGAGCACCGTCTCGTCGTTCGACCCGCCAAACCAGATTCTGCAGCCATTGCTGCCACAACAGTGTCTTCCATCGTCACCAGAAATGGCGGAAATCGAGTTGGCATTTGCTGAAAGACCATTACCTGAAAAGGGGAAGCTTTTAATGGCGGTGATGAAGGCAGGACCGCTCCTTCAGACTCTGCTTCTGGCGGGGCCACTTCCTCAGTGGCGACACCCTCCACCTCAGCTCGACTCTATTGAAATCCCACCAGTAACCATTTCTCCATCGCTGCAGTCACAGCTTCTGCAACGCTGTGGGAATCTCAACAGGAAAAGGGTTCTAAGCAACGAGTGTAATTCCCCGAGAGAGACCAAGAGTCAAAGACTCGTCTTCCCCTGACGATTTAATACCAAACGAATCAAACCCATTAGTCACATTGGCTCCATCATGTGAATCCTGAGACTGAATCCCACGAGGTTTGTACATAAACAGCATTCCATCCCACTGTTCTTCCCCGCTGTCGCATTTGAGCTCCCATTACGTGAAGCAGGGCATGTTTTGCTTCTTTCAAGTGTTTCATTAGAGATTGCGAAAGCATTCAGGCTCCAAAGCTATCGTTTTACACTCTGAGTATGCATCTGTTTATGCTTTTAGTGATCTGTTACTTACTAATGATTCACCCACTAAAGCAAATATCTTCTGATGACAAACAAACTAATTCTACTCGCAAATTTTCTCAAAGCGAAATGAGATGTTTTTAATGATTCTTGAACTCCTGAACTCAAGGGTGAGAGTTCTCGTGGATCAACAGCAGTCAAAGGTTAGAGCTTTTGCCGCTGTCCAGACTGAGAGTTCTTCGAGTGGTGGGCCGACGAATATGTGGCCGTAAAACGCTGTCTAAATAGAAACCCGTCTTGGTAATTAAGCCGTGAAGCAGAAAAGGGGAAATCTCAGCTTGTGAAAGGGACATATGTTCGTGCTTAATTGCTCACTGCTCTGTGATTAGCTTCTTTTAATTTGAGATCATACTAATTAGTGAAAATAAAAGAGAGCCTAATCTCATAGGCTCTGAGTTTTCCGTGTTCGTTCCATCAGTTTCGGTTGGTTTATCTATTCCACACGGTTTTTCGATTACCATATATTGTCCGATCCGCGGGATCAAACGGTGGCCAACCCGAAAGATTGTAAAACGGATTTTCACCCAGCCTAATAATGCAAATTATCATTTACGTAACAATGTATGGAAAAAACATTATATGACTCGTGAAATTTGTGGCATAAAAACAAATTATCACAAAATTTTATGATAAAATTATTTTATTTGTGAATTAATTAAGTAGATAAACATTGGCAGGTTGTGACCTGCATTTTGCACCCCGTCACGGAGCTGAAAAGAAAAATACGCATTCTTTAAATATTTATTTGATTAAAATTTAAAGAGTTTAATTAATTAATTATCTATGTATTAAATCGTGACGGAGAGGGTCCGTGTTAGGCCACAGGACAGTTAGACATGTTTTGTCATTATCTTTGGATTCCGAGAGTTTAGCTTAACCATCCCCATCTCCCATTTTATTTTCTCCCTATATATATATATATATATATTTGTCATTTCTGCAAATACTGTCATATGTTAAGAAAAGCCAAGTAATCAGACAATTAAAAAAAACAATTTCTTAACTTATGTCGTTTGATGTGATTAGGGCAACAGGCTTTCATATTAATTGATATAAAAAAATATTAATATATATATATATATATATATCACTGTATTTTTTCTGTTAATTACACTTGATCCATCATTCACGGGAAAAATCCGAAGCCGCATTTAACGTGCTTCTTTTAGGTTTCGTCTTCCCTTAATGACAGTGGATTATCTCAACACGATTAGTATAATGAAATCCGTCATTAATTAATCTTCTCTACAAATTATTACTTATAATTTGGGGTAATTTATTATAAATTAAACCCACCCTCCGATCTATCATTGAGAACGTGGTGACGCCATACTCTCTCTTCGTATTCCTTCCACACAAGAACAAGTAGAGTATATACACACACACACACACAAATTAATACTACAAATTACAACATAGATTATATCGTTAAATTGTAATAGATGACAACTACATGTACATAGACGCTTGTTAGTGTATATTAATAAAATAATTTTATAAAACTATTACCTAATAGATAATAAATTATATCCCCCACAAAAAAAAGGAAACTCAATGGATATAAAAACCCTAAAAAAATTTGTGACTTCAACTCTTCATGCAACTCGACAAACAAATGATTAGAAGCAAGTGTCAAATTTATTCTTTTTTAAAAGTTAATTTGATCATGCATGACATAAGCACACGCATTAAGTAAAATTAGGGCGAAATCTAAACTATTATTTAAATTATAATATAAAAATGAAAAAAATCTTTTGTTGGATTCGATTATATTTGAACTATTAAAATTAGATTTTTTTAAATAATTTTATTAAAAATACTTGGTTATCACGAGGAATGGTTTGATAATAACTTATTTAAATATTTACATTTTCATTTTCATAAGAAAAAGAATAAAAAGTGTTAGAAAAAAATATACTTGACGGTGTGAATAGAATCTAAACGCAATTAACTAATTCATAACCTGAAATTGTGGCAAATGCCTTGCTACTCTCTAGGTTTAATTTTTTCTGGAAACGGTCCACCTTATCTATTAATAATTCTAACACTCACTTAATGTTATAAAATACATTATATTTATTCATAATTAGACAACGATTAAATGTTTTTGTCGAAAGTATTTTTATTTTAAAAGTAATTTATCATGCATTTAAATCTCCAATTGGCTTCGTCGATCATCTCAATGTCAGGAACTCGAAGAAGCTTTTCCTCTACGAAGGGAAGCACCAAGAGAGCAACCCATGGATGGAAGAGTCAACCCACTATCGAACATCAACGACATTGAGTTGCATGATATTCTCTTCGACCCAAATTTCGACCAGTTCATAAATCTCGTAAGGGGCGATCAACCCGTTGACAACCCGGTTCCCGGATTCGATTTGGGTTCGGTGAACTCGTGTTTCATAGATGAAACCCAGTTTGGTCTGAGACCTGCAGACGAGTTGTTCGACGAATTGCCTGACTTTGATTCCCATGTTGCCGAGTCATTCCACAGCTTCGAGGGCGAGAGCGCGAAAGCCGGCGATGATGATTACAATGACTGCGACGATTCTTCGGCGACGACGACGAATCTAAATTCGGGTCGTAAGACGAAGACCGATCGGTCGAGGACTTTGATCTCTGAGAGGCGGAGAAGGGGTCGGATGAAGGAGAAGCTCTACGCATTGAGGTCTCTGGTTCCTAACATCACTAAGGTATTCATGGACTTGATTGTGTTAGTGTCAGAGATCTTTGGCATTGATGATAGATTAAGCATAGAGATTTACATTCCATGGATTTTAGTCACAGGTTTATAACAGAATTCATTCATGAAACTTTAGTCCATTTTCATGGCGCCTAACAGAGGAAGTTCAATGGATTGCAGAAGAACACACCATAAAGTTCAAAACTTTTGCTGATAATGTAGCATTTTATGAGAAAACAGTGCTGAAACTATACGTAGATGATGATCTGAAAGTAGGGTGTGAGAAATGGATGAATAATGTTAAAAGGATTGAATATCTTGCAGATGGACAAGGCCTCCATAGTTGGGGATGCTGTGTTGTATGTGCAAGAGCTGCAATCACAAGCCAAGAAACTCAAAGCCGAGATTGCGGGCCTCGAAGCTTCGTTAAACGCCGCTGAGCGATACCAAGAGAACATTCCAAATGCTCAGAAGGACCATGGTGGTTGCGGCCACAATCTCCATGTCTGCAAGAAAATCACCCAGGTAAGGGAAGTGCTCATCAACCGAATGAACGCATTTATCCCTTCTTGTTTGGTCTCTTTGCCTTTCAATTGCCTAAGCTCAAACCCACTTGGCTACTTGTCTGAATTAATTTGAACGAACGGTAGGATTATGGGTTCCGACCAGAGCTTGAACGGAATCCTGGATAACATCTCGTTAGTTGGCATCTCTCTTCTGACATGGATCGAGTTCGAGCTCTTGGTCCATAGATACTATTCACGATAATTAGATCTGTTTTATTCACAGATGGATGTTATTCAAGTGGAGGAAAAAGGGTTTTATGTGAGATTAGAATGCAACAAAGGAAAAGGTGTTGCTCCATCACTGTACAAATCTCTGGAGTCTCTTACAAGTTTTCATGTTCAGAACTCCAACCTCACCTCTACTTCTGCTGACGGATATCTTCTAACATTTACATTAGATGTAAGAAAAATCCACCCTTTTCTTTTTCTTAAACTTGTATTCTTTCTTGGGTGAGAAAATGTCTAATTTTTACAAGGAATCTTTGGTTGGTTGGAACAGGGGACACGTTTTGAACAGAGCCTGAACTTGTCCAACCTGAAGCTGTGGATAACAGGATCGCTTCTGAACCAAGGATTCGAATTCGTCACTGCAGTGACATGAAATCTTGAGTTAACTTACAGAAGCAGAAGAGGAAACCAGGTGGAGACGAAGGCAAGCAGTGTCATAAAGAAACTGTTTCTTGGGGTTCAAGAAAAGCAAATAACGTCTAATGCCTGCAAATGTGATGCCAGCATGTAACGATATATCGAAAGTTGCATCTTCCCTTGGAGATTATGCGACCAAGAAATTGTAACTATTATCAATATTGGGCTTTAAGACGTCATCAAAAGTTAACTTATCCAACAAGTAACGCATGTATATGTTTACATGAGATGAGAACTTAATCTGCAAATACAAAGATTAAAACCCCATAACTACACCTAATTCTAATCTAAAAACACAAAAATATAATCATTAAGAACAAACAGTAAAGTAAAAAAAAAAACGCAAGGGCTTTTTTTAGTATCTGTCATCTGTGAAATCTTGATGTTGCACCACCAACACAGAAGCCCTAGTAGGAAAGTCCTTGGAAGCTAACAAATCTCCAACGGTTCCTAATTCCTCGAACTCAGTCCATTCACTGATCCCTCTCGTTACGACACAGTCTCCTCCACTGCTTCTTCCGACTATAAACAAGTCGTAGCCGTGGGCCATCGAGCGTAGGATCACCGACGTTTCCAACCCATCTGATACCTCTCTGTCGATGTACGTTACTGGATGATTGTTACCCACTTTTGAACCATCAATGTTCATTTCCATGATCTCCTTCCGATCCATGAGATCCTGCATATTCCCCATGGATTCCGACAGCGAAGACTCGGGGATAAATCGGAGGAAAGTCAGGCTTATCTCTTTGTTCATACGCCTCATTCGGTTGGCTAACGCTAGGGCTTCCATGTCGTCTTTTCCGCCCACGAATATCAAGCAGACCTGCAGCTCGGAAAGTGACAGCACATTCAGACAATGATTCACATGACAGAACAGGATATATGAACACACTCACTGTCATTGTATTTTAGGTACCTTGCAATGGGAATCCGTCATTTGTGGGTTCCAGATGGGCTTACGGTAGACGAGGATTCCAACCGAACAAGGGGCTCGTCTCAAGATGTTACGGTTGACATTCCTCATGGTAACGTCATCAGATACGATGGCTGACCGGTCAACAGACCATGTACGGTGAAAAGGAAGAAGGATTAAGGACAAGCTCTTGGCCAGGGCAAGCCAGCAAATGTCCTCATGCATGTGTTTGGCAATGGAGAGAGAAGTGAACATGTACAGAGACGTCGAATCAGAGAATTTCTGGTTGAAACATTTGAAAGAGGCGATGACATTGTCGGAACAAGACTGGCTTCCGACCGCCGGTTTCTGGACCTGGTGGGAGATGAAGTTAGGAGTTGCCCGACCCACGAGCTCGATGAGGTGAAGGACATAGCATGCCACTGGTGAATGCTGTGATGGCTGAAAAGCTTCAAGGAGATTGATCATGGATGTTATGTGATCAGGCTTGTGAATGCACACGAGGGTCTGGAGTTCCGAGTCATCTTTCAGGTTCACTAGGTTTCTTCTACCATAAGAGCGGAATTTTTTTGACGGGTCATGCAAGAGTTCAATGGCGAATGGTATAAACAGAGAGTTCAGGAGAATAGCTGTGGCCGAGATTGTGAAGATCTCTGGGTGCAAAACCTGAAAGCGAACATTGAGGTTGACATACGAGGAGCAAAAGGCATACACTTTAATGAATTGAAAGAGAAAGCTTTTACCTTTAGTTCAACAGAGGATGTGAAGAAGGCAAGCTCGAAAAATCCCTTGTTACTCAGAGCAAGGGCCAAAATAATGGAGTCTCTCAAAGGCATTCTCGTAGCAAATGCAACTATTATGGAGGTAATGAATTTCGTAGCAGACAAGAGCAAAATCATGGAAATGGCCTCGTAAACTCGACCCTCCATATGCGTAAAATTCTTGATCTCCCCTATTAACCACTGTAAATCTACCTGCATAGCAGTGAGCGATCCAAAGAGCGGCAAGATAATGCCGAGATTGAAGCTCTCGAATCTGTGTACCAAAGCAGACCCCAAGGGAGGCCCGTCCGGGATTGCCCAACCAAAAACAAATGAACCGGCTGGGCCAAACTCTCCCAATTGGTGCCAGTAATGAAAAGATAAGAAGGCGAGCAAGAGAATGGCATAGATGTAGAAATCTTTGACGGGTCGTCCTTCTGGTGTCTGTCTGATTACCCAGAACATAGCTGGTTTTACAAAGAAGAACATTGAGGCGAAGAACACACAAGCAGCAACCGTCTGCAAAATGCCCAAAGCCTTACCCCACAATAACACGAAGAGGAAATGAACGACAAAGGCCACCAAGTCAGTCACCATTGCTGAAGACAGTGCAATCCGTCCAAACTCTGAGTGGTTGATCTTGAGATCTCTCAAGAGCGTATCGATGCTTGTGAAGGGTGATACGCTATTCATGAATACGATTGCTCTGTATTCAAGCACCGTCAACCTCATTTTCCCTGTTCTCTCTCTAATTATGAAAAGGATGGAACCAAAAAACAACGGCACTGCCATTGTTGTAAACCCAATCAGGGTAGATTTCTTTCCCATCCTTGTGAACGTCTCAGCGTCCATAGTCACACCTTTCAGAAACCAATAGAGGACAAATCCAAATGCCCCAAGGGTCTCAGGGATCTTCGGTCTGTAGTCATCAGGTAAAAAGATCCTATGAATCAAGGAATCTTGGCTGAGGTATGAAGCTTGGCTTAGGACAAGCCCCGCCTTTGACAACAAAGACATAACATTTCTCAGTTAACAACACAGAATAATATCATAATCTGTATATTTTTCAGAGGAGATAAACTTACGAGCATCATGCAAGCGAATTGGGGTATTCTGAAACCCAACTTCTTGCACAAGACGTAAAAGAACCGCCAGAGCAAGAACACTGACAGGACCAGAATCTCGAGATTTGGAAGAGGGTACTCCCAAAACCCGGCTCCTATAGCTTTGAAATTGAATCTCTCCCATATACCAAACGAGTTCACAGTGGACAGATCCGTTAGGCAGAACCGAGACCCGTCCTCGCTCAGGGCGTAGCCTCTCCATCTCAACTCCTCCCACCACGTCATGTTTATTGTATCCATGACCGTAAACTACACAGATCAAGACAAACCCCAACGCTGATGAACAAAAACAGAAGAAAATCGAAGATTATTTTGCGGGGATTTTTGTGTGTTTGATCTCTGGGGTTTGAAGGTGAGGGAAGCAATAAAAGAGGAGTAGCGGTTATGAGTTTAAACAAATACACTCCATAATTAAAAGAATGTCAGCAACTGCCTACAACATATTCAAATGCAAGAAGTCATAAATAGCAGTTTTCTACACAGATATTGCAGCACTCTCTACCTCTTTTTTTTTACGGAATCATCACTAAGACAACACAACAAAAACGGTATTATCTGAACATTCGATAACAGAAACCCCAAGCTGTCCTAATTTTTTTAGGGTTTTTATTGTATGAATTCTCCTTCCTCCGGCACTTTCATGAATATCTATTTCGGTGATTTTGCGATCTTTGGAGTTTGGGCCATCACTTGATTTTCTACAACCACAACGCCCGTCTCATGCGGACGCAGTCGCAAACTTCGGAATTTAGGTTAAAGTGACAAATTTTGCTCATATGTAGATGAACACTTGCAGAGATAACTAGGATTTACCGCATAGAGAGCCAAAATCCACTCGCCGGCCTGAGACGACTGCCGACTCTCCGCCGGAAACCGTCGTCTCTCCCGTAGTCATGCTATATATGTCTCGATCTCTCCGATTTCCACAATTTGCGGCGAGATTCGCGACGGGAATTAAGGGCGATAGCGATGGCAGGCCAAAAGGGAGAAGCCGAGGAGGCAATAATGGAGGGAAATCCATGAGCGAGGGAGAAGAAGAGGGGGAGGAGGAGGAGTGATAACCGGCGGCGTCGGTTTAATTTGCAGAGAAAAATTATTTCGAATTGAAAGAAAAGCGACAAGTTAACGTATGAACAGGATCACTTGTGAACCAAGGATTTGAATAGTTAATAAAAATTAATATCATCCTCACAACTCCATCAAAATACGTGAAGTCAACTTATCCGACAAGTAACATATGTATACATTTTTACAGAAACTGAAACTGCAAATACTACACCTAATTCTCTAATCCAAAAAAAATAAAATAAAAATACAAAAAACGCAAGGGGTTTTTCTTTAGTATCCGTGATCTGTGAAATCTTGGTGCTGCACCACCAACACAGAAGCCCTAGTGGGAAAGTCCTTGGAAGCTAATAAATCTCCAATGGGTCCTAATTCCTCGAACTCCGTCCATTCACTGATCCCTCTCGTTACGACAGAGTCTCCTCCGCTGCTTCTTCCGACTATCAACAAGTCGTAGTCGTGAGCCATCGAGCATAGAATCACTGACGTTTCCGACCCGTCTGATACCTCTCTGTCGACGTACGTCACCGGATGATCCTTTCCCACTTTTGAACCATCAATGTTCGTTTCCATTATCTCCTTCCGATCCATGAGATCCTGCATTGAGCCCTTGGATTCTAACAGTGAAGTCTTGGGGATAAATCGGAGGAAAGTCAGACTTATCTCTCTGTTCATTCGCCTCATTCGGTTGGTTAACGCTAGCGCTTCCATGTCGTCTTTTCCGCCCACGAATATCAAGCAGACCTGCAGCTCAGAAAGTGACAGCACATCCAGACAGTGATTCACATGACAGGACAGGATACATGAACACACTCACTGTCATTGTTTTCTAGGTACCTTGCAATGGGCGTCCGTCGTTTGTGGGTTCCAGATGGGCTTACGGTAGACGAGGATTCCGACCGAACAAGGGGCTCGTCTCAAGATGTTGCGGTTGACATTCCTCATGGTATCGTCATCAGAGACAATGGTCGACCGGTCAACAGACCATGTACGATGAAAAGGAAGGAGGATTAGGGATAGGCTCTTGGTTAGGGCGAGCCAGCAAATGTCCTCATGCATGTGTTTGGCAATGGAGAGAGAAGTGAACATGTACAAAGACGTTGAATCAGAGAATTTCTGGTTGAAGCATTTGAATGAGGCAATGACATTGGCGGAACAAGACTGGCTTCCGACCGCCGGTTTCTGGACCTGGTGGGAAATAAAGTTAGGAGTTGCCCGACCCACGAGCTCGATGAGGTGAAGGGCATAGCATGCCACTGGTGAATGTGCTGATGGCTGAAAAGCTTCAAGGAGGTTGATCATGGATGTTATGTGATCAGGCTTGTGAATGCACACGAGGGTCTGGAGTTCCGAGTCATCTTTCAGGTTCAATAGGTTTCTTCTTCCATAAGAGCAGAATTTTTTTGACGGGTCATGCAAGAGTTCAATGGCGAATGGAATAAACAGCGAGTTCAGGAGAATAGCTGCGGCCGAGACTGTGAAGACCTCCGGGTGCAAAACCTGAAAGCCAAACATTGAGCTTGACATACGAGGAGCAAAAGGCAGATACTTTAACGAAATGATAGAGAAAGCTTTTACCTTTAGTTCAACAAAGGACACGAAGAAGGCAAGCTCGAAGATTCCCTTGGTACTCAGAGCAAGGGCCAGAATAATGGAGTCTCTCAAAGGCAATGTCACAGCAAATGCAGCTATTACAGAGCTAATGAATTTTGTTGTAGACAAGAGCAAAATCATGGATATGGCCTCGTAAATTCGACCCTCCATACGTCCTAAATTTTCAGTCTCCTTGAACAACCATGGTAGGTCCATCTGCATTGTTGTAAGCGATCCAAAGAGAGGCAAGATAATGCCAAGATTAAAGCTCTCAAATCTTTGTACCAATGCAGACCCCAAGGGAGGCCCGCTCGGGGTCGCCCAACCAAGAACAAACGGTCCGAGTGGACCAAACCGTCCCATTTGGTGCCAGTAATGAAAAGATAAGTAAGCGAGTATGAGAACAACGTAGATGTAGATATCTTTGACAGGTCGTCCTTCTGGTGTTTGTTTGATTACCCAGAACATAGCTGGTCTTATAAAGAAAAACGTCCAGGCGAAAAACACACAAGCAACAATCGTTTGAAAAATGCCCAAAACCTTATCCCACAGTATTGTGAAGAGGAAAGTAACGACAAAGGCCATCACGTCAGTCACCATTGCTGAAGACAGCGCAATCCGTCCAAACTCCGAATGGTTGATCTTGAGATCTCTCAAGAGTATATCGATGCTTGTGAACGGTGATACGCTATTCATTAATAAGATTGCTCTGTATTCAAACAGCGTCAACCTCATTTCCCCTGTTCTCTGTCTACTTGTTAAAACTATGGAACCAAAAAGCAATGGCACCGCCGTTGTTGTAAACCCGATCAGGATAGCTTTCTTTCCCGTCCTTGAAAACGTCCCAGCGTCCATAGTCACGCCTTTCAGAAACCAATAGAGGAGAAATCCAAATGCCCCAAGGGTCTCAGGGATCTTCGGTCTGCAGTCATCAGGGAAAAAGATCCTATGAATCAAGGAATCTTGGCTGAGGTATGAAGCTTGGCTTAGGACAAGCCCCGCCTTTGACAACAAAGACATAACATTTCTCAGTTAACAACACAGAATAATATCATAATCTGTATATTTTTCAGAGGAGATAAACTTACGAGCATCATGCAAGCGAATTGGGGTACTTTGAAGCCCAACTTCTTGCCCAAGACGTAAAAGAACCGCCAGAGCAAGAACACTGACAGGACCAGAATCTCGAGATTTGGAAGAGGGTACTGCCAAAACCCGAGCCCTATATCTTTGAAATTAAATCTCTCCCATATACCGAACGAGTTCACGGTGGATGGATTCGTCTGGCAGAACCGAGACCCGTCCTCGCTCAGGACGTAGCCTTTCCATCTCAACTCCTCCCACCACGTCATGTTTATTGTATCCATGACCGTAAACCCCCGACACTGATGAACAAAAACAGAAGAAAATCGAAGATGCTCCAAGATTATTTTGCGGGGTTTCCGTTTCTGATCTCTGGGATTTGAAGCTGAGGAAAGCAATAATAAGAGTAGCGGTTATGTGTTTGAACAAACACACACCATAATAAAAGAATGACAGCCAACTGCATACAACATATTCAAATGCAAGAGTCATAAATAGCAGTTTTCCACACAGATATTGCAGCACTTTCTCTCTCTCTCTCTCTTTTTATGGAACCGCCACTAAGACAACACAACAAATACCCCAAGCAAAAAGAGAAAACTTTCTCCAGTCCTCCCTCTGGCGCTTTCATAAATATCATGTGAATATGATTTCTCTTCTTCTCCTAGAGTCTATTTCGGTGATTTTTCTATCTTTGAAGTTTGGACCATCACTTGATTTTCTACAACCACAACGCCCGTCTCAAGCGGACGCAATCGCAAACTTCTGAATTTAGGTCAAAATGACACTTGCAGAGATAACTAGGTTTTACCGCTTACAGAGCCAAAATCCACTCGCCGCCCTGAGACGACTGCCGACCTCCCCGACGGAAACCGTCGTCTCTCCCGGTAGTAATGCTATATATGTCTCGATCTCTCCGATTTCCACAATTTGCGGAGAGGAGAAGCCGAGGAGGTAATAATGGAGGGGAATCCATGAGCGAGGGAGAAGAAGAGGAGGAGTGCTAACTGCTAACCGGCGGCGTCGGTTTAATTTGCAGAAACAAAATGGTTTCGATTTAAAAAAAAAAAGTTACCACCATCTCAATTTAATTGCCACACTTCTTCTCGTGTTTTGATATTATATCAATTTGTATTTAAATTAATCGACTATAATGATTTATTATTTATATTTAGTTTTTTAAAAACTACATTTTTATTGGATATAATTATAAAATTACGATATGTATCGTTTTTTGAAATCTAATTTTTTTTAAAAAAAATTTATGTGTTGAATATCTGTGTCAAGTTCGCAAATTCATTTATTTATTTGGGAAACTATGGTTAGATATATTTTCAATTTTAAAACGAAACAAATTGTAATTACTTGAACTCATAACAAAAAAAATTCTTCAAAAGACGCCCAGATGAGATCATTCATATCAAAACGCATACTCAAACATCACTTGAAATGGCCAAGAATGGGCCTATCATTTCCTCCGACAAATCATTAAACATAACTATACAATGTTTGAATCGTATGGGACATGTACATCAACATCAACATCGCTTTGGTCCCAAGTTTATTTGGAGTCGACTGCAAGGATTTTTCGTTTCCATTCATTTCGATTTTGAATTAACTCTTTCGAAATTTATAACAATTCCAAATCGTTTCTAATTACACGTTCCCGTTCCCAAGTAAGTCTAGGTCTAACCTTACTTTTTCTCTTCACTCTCATTACTATACTCTCCACTTTTCTTTTCTAACCGATGCATTCATCGGTCTGCGTACCACAAATATACATTTAAAAAAAATAAAAAGAATAATCCACGTACGTTTGATGTCGAGGAAGTCGACGGAGACCATATGAGGGCTTTCATGGCATACCCGAGATAGATCCGATTTCGAAAATTCCCGAAAATCGCTTATATAAATCTCCTCGTCTAAATCCCTGTGTAAAAAGAATCGGACTGGGAAGTAAAAGAATCGCCTACGGGTTTCTATCTGTGATCTCTGAAATCTTGCTGCTGCACCACCAACACAGAAGCCCTGGTAGGGAAGTCCTTTGACGCTAATAAATCTCCAATGGGTCCTAATTCCTCGAACTCCGTCCATTCAGTGATCCCTCTCGTGGCCATTGAGTTTCTCCCGCTGCTTCTTCCCACTATGAACAGGTCGTACTCGTGGGCCATCGACCGCAGAAACATCGACGTCTCCGACCCATCCGACACCTCATTGTCGAGGTACGCTACCGGATGATGGCCTTCCATGTCGAAACAATCGTTCCTCTCCATGATTTCCTTCCGGTCCATGAGATCCTGCATAGTCCCCTTGCTGTCCCACACGGATGTTTTCGGGATGAATCGCAGGAAAGTCAGGCTTATCTCTCTGTTCGTACGCCTCATTCGGTTGGTTAACGCCATGGCTTCCATGTCGTCTTTCCCGCCCAAAAATATCAAGCAGACCTGTAACTCGAAATCCACAAAAAAAAAAAAAAAATCAGACACTAATTCACATGACAAACAACATAAGACATTGTTCATTAGTTGGAGCTTTGAGTACCTTGATATTGGAATCCGTCATTTGTGGGTTCCGGAGGGGCTTACGGTAGACGAAGATTCCGACCGAACAAGGGGCCTGTCTCAAGATATTACGGTTGACACTCCTCATGGTATCGTCATCAGAGACGATGGTCGACCGATCAATAGACCATGTACGGTGAAAAGGAAGAAGGATTAGGGATAGACCCTTGGTCAGGGCGAGCCAGCAAATGTCCTCATGCATGTGTTTGACCATGGAGAAAGAGGTGAACATGTACAGAGATGTCGAGTCAGAGAATTTCTGGTGGAAGCATTTGAAAGAGGCGATGACGTTGTCGGAACAGGACTGGCTTCCGACCGCCGGTTTCTGGACCTGGTGAGAGATGAAGTTAGGAATTGCCCGACCCACGAGCTGGATGAGGTGAAGGACGTAGCATGACACTGGTGAATGTTCTGATGGTTGAAAAGCTTCGAGGAGGTTGATCATGGACGTTATGTGATCAGGCTTGTGAATGCACACAAGGGCGTGGAGTTCCGAGTCGTCTTTCAGGTTCAATAGGTTCCTTCTTCCGTAACAGCGGAATTTTTCTGACGGGTCGTGCAAGAGTTTAATGGTGATTGGTATAAACAGCGAGTTCATGAGTATAGCTGTGGCCATGATCGTGAAGACTTTCGGGTGGACAACCTGAGAGCAAAAAAATAGGGCTTGATATACGATGGAAGATACTTTTTTTGAACTGAAAGAGAAAGCTTTTACCTTTAATTCAACGAAGGACACAAAGAAGGCAAGCTCAAAGATTCCCTTGTTGCTCAGAGCAAGAGCAAGGACAATGGAGTCTCTCAAAGGCATTCTTACAGCAAATGCAACTATTATGGAGCTGATGAATTTCGTAGCAGACAAGAGCAAAATCATGGACATGGCCTCGTAAACTCGACCATCCATATGTGTAAAGTTCTTGATCTCCCCGATCAACCATTGTAAATCTACCTGCATAGCTGCGAGTGATCCAAAGAGTGGCAAGATAATACCAAAATTGAAGTTCTCGAATCTGTGTACCAAAGCAGACCCCAAGGGAGGCCCGTCCGGGATTGCCCAACCAAGAACAAACGACCCGGCTGGGCCAAACTGTCCCATATGGTGCCAGTAATGAAAAGATAAGTAGGCGAGCATGAGAACGACATAGATGTAGATATCCTTGATGGGTCGTCCTTCTGGTGTCTGTCTGATGACCCAGAACATAGCCGGTCTTACTAAGAAAAACATGGAGGCGAAGAACACACAAGCAACAAGCGATTGCAAAATGCCCAGAGCCTTATCCCACCGTATTGCGGAAAGGAAAGTAATGACAAAGGCCATCATGTCAGTCACCGTTGCTGAAGACAGTGCGATCCGTCCAAACTCCGAGTGGTTGAACTTGAGATCTCTCAAGAGCGTATCGATGCCTGTGAAGGGTGATACGCTATTCATGAATATGATTGCTCTGTATTCAAACAGTGTCATCTCCATTTTCCCAGCTCTCATTCTGATGATGAAAACGATGGAACCCAAAAGCAATGGCACTGCCATTGTTGTAAACCCGATCAAGACAGACTTCTTTCCCGTCTTTGCAAAAGTCCCAATGTCCATGGTCACACCTTTCAGAAACCAATAGAGGAGAAATCCAAATGCCCCAAGGGTCTCGGGGATCTTCGGTTTGTAATCATCAGGGAAAACGATACTACGAATCAAGGAACCTTGGCTGAGAAGTGAAGCTTGGCTTAGGACAAGCCCGGCCTTGGACAACAAAGACATAACATTTCTCAGTTAAATCAATCCAAAAAAACCAGACAAATAAGATCATAATCTGTATTTCTGTTCAGAGGAGATAAACTTACCAACATCATGCAAGTGAATTTGGGTATGCGAAAACCCGACTTCTTGCACAAGAAGTCAAAGAACCGCCAGAGCAAGAACGCGGCCAGGATCATAAACTCGAGATTGGGAAGAGGGTACTCCCAAAACCCCATCCCTTGAGCTTTGAAAGTAAATATCTCCCACATACCGAACGAGTTCACAGTGGCTGGATTCACCTGGCAGAACTGAGACCCGTCCTCGCTCATGATGTAGCCTCGCCATGTCAACTCCTCCCACCACGTAATGTTTATCGTATCCATGACCACAAACTACACAGATCAAGGCAAACACCCAACCCTGATGAACAAAACCGAAAGTAAATCGAAGATTATTTGGGGTTTTTATGATCTCTGGGGTTTGAAGCTGAGGGAAGCAATGATAAAAGTCGCGGTTATGAGTTTGAACAAACAAACTCCATAAATAAAATAAGTACAACCACCAACCTAAATGGTATTCAAATGCAAGAGTCATAAATAGCAGTTTTCAACGCATATTTTGCACAACTATATCCATCCATTTCTCTTTATACGGAATCAGATTCAAAAAAACGGTGTAAACTGAACAGTCAAATAACAAAAACAGAAACCCCGAACAAAAAGAGAACAACTTTATCCAGTTGTAGAAAATTTTTATGCATCTCTTATATATAGTCAACCACAATTTCGTGATATATGACTTCCCCTTCTGTTATGATCAATTTACGGATATACGATTCATCTTCCTCTAGAATCTAATTCGATGATTTTGCTATCTTTGGAGTTTGGACCATCACTTGATTTTCTACAACCACGACGCAATCGCATACTCTGGAATTTAGCTTCAAATGACAATTTTTGCTCCTAATCTATATATAGACGAACACTTTCAGAGATAACTAGGGTTTACCGTTTAGAGAGTCGCAATCCACTCGCCGTCTCGAGACGGCCGCCGGAAACTCGTCTCTCCCTGCAGTAACGCTATATCTCTCTCTCGATCTCTCCGATTTCCACAAATTGCGGCGAGATTCGCGAAGAAAATTGCAGGAGATTGCCATGGCGGGCCAAAAGGAGAGAAACCGAGAGAGGTAATAGTGAAGTGAAATCCAAGAGTGAGGAGAAGATGTAGTAGTAGATGGAGGAGGAGCGCATCGATTTAATTAGCAGGAAAAAAAGGAATTTGGTATTAGATAATTTATCTTAAATTGAATTTAGGTATTCAAATTAAAAATGCCTAATTTGAATTTGAATTTGAATTTGAATTATGGAGTATTGATTTTTTTAATATAAATTTTTGAAAATTTGACTGATATTTTATTAGATTATAATAAAAGCAATATATTGGATGTTCTTTGAGAGATACAAATCAACACAAGAAGATTAGATCAAGAAGGCCCAAGCCACATCTCATTATCTCGTTTCCCGAGAAAGAGCTCGTCCAAGAACGCTCAAGAAAGTTCAGTCATGGCTGCTCAGTCAATCCTCACATGCTCCTTGCCTTCTCGACCTCTCTTCTCTCCGTCGTCGAAACCCCAATCGCTCGTCTCCTCTTCTTCTTCTCCTCGTCTCCCCTCCTCATTCCGCGGCGTCTCCATTAACCTCCACCGCTGCCGCTCGGTTTCCTTCTCCGGCGGATCTCCGGCGAGATCGCTCACCGTGGTTGCGGCCGCGAAGAAGGCTGTGGCGGTGCTCAAGGGCACCTCCCAGGTTGAAGGGGTCGTCACTCTGACCCAAGGCGACGACGGTCCGTCTCTCCTTCCCCTATTTCCTTGTCGCATTCATCGCCATCTGAAATACCGCTTCTCCTCTTGGTTTCTCTCTTTTTTTCGCAGATTTGGTTTACATTTCGAGATGGGTTTTACGGTTTTCTGAATACTGTGCCGTTTGTTAGGTCATCTGTTGATTCGCATTATCTAGGTCTTTAGTTTCGGTATGCGTCAGAATTTCGTGGTTTCTATGGAGAATGTAAATCTTTCTGGATTTGTGTTCATGCTGGATTTGCAGATGGTTCGATGAAAAGATTAAGCTTTAAGAATGTACCATAAGCTTGTGCTATGCGCACACAAACCGGTGGTTTTGAACTGTTTGTCAGAGCTCTGTGGTTTATGGCAGTGTTCAACCGATGTGCATTTCTGCTGGGAAAATGGATATAACATAAAGATTTATGCTTTTAGAGGTTAAAGCAGAACTGGATTTGTGTTCATACTTGCTACTTGAATGTTTTCCATTGGCTTGTATCTGTTACGGAAGTGTTTGTGGTATGATATTGTCTCCATGTCTTGTTGAATTCAATTGGGTGGATGAACTGAGAGATACACATTCTTGTTCATGGTAAACAGGTCCGACGACCGTGAATGTTCGCATCACCGGTCTCACTCCAGGGCCTCATGGATTTCATCTCGTAAGGGTTCCTATTATCGTCCTTCTTCTGTTTCTTGCATTCCGTTAAATCGGCAAAACTTTGTGATAACAGTGCTCAAACACTTTCTTCCATGTGTTTTCCAGCATGAGTATGGTGACACAACAAATGGATGCATCTCAACAGGTTTTGTACTTTCTCTTCTGAAATGTCGAGATTTGATGAAGATTGATCATACGATTACCGATTCTTGATGTGATTTTTTCCATGTTAATCTTGTTGTGATGATTTGTTAGGAGCACATTTCAATCCAAACAGCATGACACATGGAGCTCCTGAAGACGAAATCCGTCATGCGGGTGACCTGGGAAACATCATCGCCAATGCCGATGGTATCCAAATCCTCATTAAACTTTTGACGTATACTCTTTCATCTTTGATAATATGTCAATTCACTGAACTGGTCACCGGTTTTCTAAACGCAATAGGAGTGGCAGAGGCAACAATTGTGGACAATCAGGTTTGTCTGTGACATATTTCTTATTTATTCGCTTTAATAAGAAGGGTCTGTCTTATGGCAATCAGTGGCGAGACTAAATCCAATTATACAGATTCCTCTGAGTGGTCCAAATTCAGTAGTTGGAAGGGCCCTTGTGGTTCATGAGCTTGAGGATGACCTCGGAAAGGGTAAACCCATGATACGAAATTTCAATTCCGTGATACGAAATGAAGACTGCCCTTTCCAAGCTTGTAAAACTTTTCTCGAGCGTTTTTTTTTGTTGAGTAAATGCCCACTTCTCTTGAATTTCAAATGTGTAGGTGGACATGAGCTTAGTCTAACCACGGGCAATGCTGGGGGAAGATTGGCATGCGGTATATCTGATCTTATCACCCCTTCTTTACTACAAAAACTCGGTTTTCTTTTCGTTATGTTCTTCGCATCGCATCTCATAGAAGTTCAAGCATATAGAACACCTTAAACCCACTATATGGGTCACAGGCGCCATAGCTCTTCACCAGACTTATTAGTACGATCCCTTTTTAGCATCAATCTTTCTTCTGCATATAGAGAACCACTGTAAAAACCGATACGTTTTCACGATGTCTCAACCTTTTTGTACGACGGGACGGGATTCTTGTGCAGGTGTGGTTGGATTGACTCCTCTGTAAGTCTCAGTTTCGGCCACTGCTATTACTACGGGTACGTATCCTTCTCGTAGGTGTGTGAGTTTCTCTTGTAATGGACAGACACTTGCTCTGTGGACTTAGTTTTATTCTCGCACTGTGTTTTTGTGGGACAGCAAAAGGGGTTGGATCTGGGAACATGATCTGTTCTGTTCTGTTTGATTTTGAACTGATGAGCTCGTAATGAGATATGAGCCAAACCGTTAATGTTATATTGATAAGTTAGATACCAACTGCCACTAACTGTATTTTCAGAATGTGTTTATTTGGTGGGACATTTTGATTTTACTCTTTGTAGTAAAGATCCGTGCTTAAAAGCCCATTGCAATTAAATGTAACAATTGTTTATTTTTGTTGTAATAAAATAAGATAAGCTCGTTCAGGACATAGGGTTCAGATTTAAATTGATAAGAGCTTGGGGATCAAAATAAAAATAAAATGTGATATTGACTTAGGATTGAGCATGATTAAAATACCAACTAAGGATCATTAACCCCAACTAATTCTGTCGTTAATTTGAAGCTGTGATTATGAAAATTTAATAATTGTTTTGTGTCCAGAAGAATTGCAGTAAGCTAAGCCTAAGGGTAGGTTTCTTCCGAACCGTTTTGTGTTGCCTGAACTACTTCATAAATCATCAAAGCTGCCTCCTTTATTTTATTTAGTCTTCACTTATAAAAGGAGAGTTTCAAATCCAGCAATTTCAAGAAATTCATGATATAGAAATTAATGAAGCCGGTCGAATTATTAAAAATTAATTACGATTATATAATTAATATAAAAACATATTGTCATTTTATTTGGATATTTTTTGTTAATAATTTTATTTGGATATTTTGATTGAATAATATCAAAATGACTTTTTTTCTGGCCGAATAAAGCGGGGCATTATCAAAAATACTTTTACTTTGCTATTTTAAGAGATACTCTTCTCCAATTGTGATCATGTGATCCATGTGACCAGAAATTTAATCTTGATTACATTGGTCATAACATTTAATTTATAATATTTTTATCAAATAATTAGTATGAGTGTGATCATCATAAATTTAACATTATGATCAATATGATTAAAATTAAATTTCTAGTCACATGAATCATAGGGTCACAGTTGGATAAAGGTATGTCTTGAAGTTAAAATAACAAAAGTAGTATATTTTTTATATAATGTCGAATAAAACAATCCCAAAAGAATTGAAGGTTAATTCACTCACAGCCAAGCAAAAATTATAGCAGTTAGGAAGGATAAAGTTCTCTAGCTAATCGGTTGACAAAATATGTGTACATAAAAAATATATAAAATAAAGTGCATACATATTCGAATGTAGGTGTATATTTGCATAGATACTTGTTTATTGAGTAAATTAATGCCAATGTAAAGCCAGGACCATGCTTTGTATTTTAGTTGCATGACATTATGAGGTGCTTAGTTGCAACCAACGTGCTTTCATGGATCATGAGTTGTGGTCGAGAATATTTCTTATTTTTTAAGTCTATACATTTTGTATGTGTGTATATATATATATATATATACACACTAGGTTTTGATTGTGATGTATCTCTTATCTTTTAAGAAGTTGCAAGTTCGCAGTAAATAAATAATAATCCTAATCGTTTGCCATGTATTTATATATCTATTTGGGATTTATTAATTTGAACAATATGAATGATAGTTTGAAACACTCAGTAGTAATAATTTGTTACAACACTAAACCATGAGCCAAGATGAGTATTGGATGCGTATATCCATGAGAATATATGTATAATTGTATACATACATATAGATATAATTAGAGGAGGAGAGTATATGTGAAATGGAGTGAGTATGAAGTTTAGTGAGGTGAGAGTGTGGTGTAGTTTAAGTGTCTATCCACTCCCTCGCTACAAGACATATGCCCCACCACTCTTTCTTCTCCTATTTGGTGTGCCACCCATTTCCTCCTCACCCTTTTCACTATTCTCTCTCTCTCTCTCTCTCTCTCTCTCTCTCTCTCTCATATGTTTGTCTGCTTGTAAATTTCAAATGCCAAAAGCAATTTGACATTGAATATTCCAAATTTGGTAAATAATCTTTTTATAGTTCAATCATAAGCATGAAGAGATCTTACTACCATATATCTTTGTTATATGGTGTACATGATTTGAAATGTATCTGCAATATATATATATATTCGTTCAATACAAATCTGTAATCTTAACTTTTTGTTTTGAAATACGATATTCAATTACCTAACTTTTAAAATTTTCAGATGTTTGTAACGATACATAAACTTTGGGAATCAAAATAGCAATATCAGAATTTAAAATTTTAAAAACTCGTGCAATACCCTATAAATTATAAATAAAAAAAAAAATTTGTACATCGAATCCGAAAATCTCCTAGTATTTTTTTTTTCATTTTCTAATCTTATCCATTCTACTATCTCCAAAATTCAAACCAAAATTAATCAAACACGACCATCAAATTCAGACAACTGCGTTAGCACTGACAACATACAAAAGTGAACTAAACCGGAGTGATGAATCAAACAGGTTAGATCCGGTTTTCCGGAATCTGGATTTGGGGTTGATCCTCACTTGGAAGCCATGACATACACAACCACCAAATGAATAAAATAATTTAAAATTTTAATAAGATTAAAGAAATAGAAAATGAAAATAATTTGTTTTTAAAAAGGAAAGACTTTACGTGAGAAGGGATTTAGATGTTTACATGGTGGGATTGGATGCAGGAAAACAAGATGCTGCGGCGGTGCATCTATGCCCTTACGTGCCTCTCACTACCTTCTTCTTTATTTTGTTACGCCAAGCCAAGTATCTCTCTCTCTTTTTTTCTTTTTACAAAAATATAATTTTAAAATTTTATTGTATTTATTTATTATACATGTATTATTATTAACTTTACATTATTTTTTTTCACTACAAAAAAAACCTCAAATTCCAACCGGCAAATCCGTTGGAAAGGGTCGAAAATCCGTTGGAATTCAACTTTTCCAACGGATTTCCAACGGATATATCCGTTGGAATATCGTCGTTAGAAATCGGTGTCCGTTGGAATTCCGTGGCAAATTCCAAACGGAATTCCAACGCCTTCATCCGTTGGAATATTTCAACGGATTTCCAACGGTTTTTCCGTGGTATATTTTCAACGGAATTCCAACGGATTTGTTCGTCGGGATATATCAACGGAACTTCCAACGGACATCCGTGGCTATTTTCCGACGGGACCGTTAGAATATCCGTTAGAAATTTTCCAACGGATTTACAACGG